TTGCCTTTAGCATGCTATCTTTTGTAGAATTTTTTAGATAAATTTATTCAAATATGTCTAATTAATTTTTTTTTAAAAGGTGACAGGTTAGCTTTAAATTAACAATAGGTTAATTGGGGTAGGATTATGTGTAAAATTTGTAAATTTTTAATAATGCATTAAATTTTAAATAATATTTTAATAATTTATTTAATTAATATTAAATTAATATACCTTTAATATGTTGATTTCATCAGGAAAATAATTTAGTGTAAACTTGCATAAATCTTACGATGCCGACGTAATATTGTGTAAATCTTACAGTGCCGACGTAATATTGTGTAAATCTTACAGCGCCGACATAAGTTTTACACTTTTTTATTATTAAACTTACAATTGACACGTGTAAAATTTTTTTATATTTTCCGGATGTTGATGGTCTAGTAATCTTTTCTAATCCTGCTTTTAATTCTATAATTTGGTTTTGTAAACTAGTATTTGCTTCTACTTCCATTCCAATTGGTTTTTTTATTTTATATGGCGCATCTTCAGATTTTTTTTTATATCTATTATGTCTATCATATGCTATATGAGAATTATAGCATTTAGAACATATTCTTTCACCTATATTTAATTCATAACCTACTAGTTCAGCTTTTTCTTTTCCTTGTTCTGAAATATTTCGCCATTTAGAGTCATCTTTTTCTATTTTGCAAATGGAACAAAAACCAACAGGCATTTTAGTAATGACTTGTAAATCAAGAAACAAAAATTGTTACTTTGAATGGATCCAGGTGGATCCAGGAATATTGAAGTGAAAAGAGTATACTTGTAAAATTTGAAAGGTTGTTATTTAGTGTACTTGTGCCCACCTCATAAATGTAACCCATCGTCTATTCTAAAACAATTGAAAAATGATCAACATAATATAAATAATATAAAAGGAATGTCCACCATGCTACATTCATATATATATTTAACTTTATTTAGTAGAGATTAATGACAATTCTCCCAAAACGGGCAGAATTGCTCAAAACGAGTGGATTCACCCAGATACAAAGTGAGTGAATTCGCACAATCTGAGCGAAAATGCACAATTTGAGTGGAATCGTCCAAACCAGCAGATTTGCACAATTTGGGCTAATATGTAAATGAACATGTATATAAAGAACTTGGTTTCGACCTAATGTAAAAGTAACTTGGTAATAAGTTAATTAGTTTCGACTAAATAAATAAAATAGTAATATTTTATTTAAATAAACTTTTATCTTCTTTAACCAAAATTATTTGCTAATACCAAAATCAATTCATTGATCCCCTATTCATTCTGATCCATGCAAAACAAAAATAATTGTTATCACCAATTAAAACACACTCTCCCAAATTTAATCAGTGGCACTACCATGTTGAAGAAATGTCATTGTAAAAGAAGAAGCCTTTTAAGAAACCTCTTAAAAATGGTTGTTGTTGTTGGTTATATCTAGTTGATAATAAAAAGGTGCGTTTGTGAAAAATAATCAAATATTTTAAACTTGAGAAATAAAAAAATACCAGTGTTAACCCAATAAAGGTTTTAATTCTGGAGATTTTGGAGATTCTTTCACATGTTTTTTTCTTTGAGGAGTGAAACATGAAGGTCTACTTTAAAATCTTCAACTAATAAATTAACATGCTTCTGCAAGTACAAAGTGTATGAAAGAGACCCAGACACTTTACCAACAAGACACTTTACCGACAACATGAGATGTAAAATACATATTTACCTCCAATGCTAAAATGTTGAGACAAAAAGTGGCAATGTTAATCTGTCTCTTACAAGACTTTAAAAAAGCATAGATAAGAATCCTAT